TGTGCGTGTGTGTCGTTGTGTGCCAAGGATCGAGCTCAGGCCCTTGCACTTCCCAGGCAGACTTGGCACCACTGAGAAACTGTGAATACCTAGTTTTAATTCCAGTGGGGAAGTGCTTTTAGAAGTTAAGAAAATAGGAGTGGGTCACTGAAGGTGTGATATAAAAAATGTATGTACTTCTCCTTGGATCCTCCATTCTTTCTTTACTTCTGAGCCATCATTCAGTGAACAGCTTTCCACTGCAATGCCAAACTGCCTCACTATTTCTGCCTTGAAGCTAGCCAACAATGACTGAATGTACTGAAAATGTAAACCAAGCAAAACTTTCCTCCTTTAATTTTCAGGTATTGGATATTTGAAAACATCAAAATATGACTAATACAAAATTGGAGCCACAGAACTGGTGTCAGTACTACAACTGCACTTGAACCTATGATATAGAAGCATTCATAACTGATTTGCAGGAGTAGTTTGGAAAAGTTTGGAAATGCTGGCTAAAGAAGTCTGATTATGCTGTAAGCAGAGCTTGATGGGAGATTCCTGTCAGAATCCAGGAGACCAGAATGCTGACAGGAATGCTGTGAGTAAATATCAGGCTCAAAAGGTTTCAGTTAAGATCTTCATTGGCAATTGGACTAGAGGCTGTGTGCTGGCAAAAACTGTGTGTGTGTGTGTGTGTGTGTGTGTGTGTGTGTGTGTGTGCGTGTGTGTGGCCCATGTACTGAGACTTTGAGGCTAATATTGAGTGTGATTGAGTAATTAATTTGGCAGAGGAAATTTTAAAGCAGTTTAATGTTCAGGATGTGGTATGGACACTGCTTGCTGATTTTAGTTACATCTATAGTGAAAATTCTGAGAAATATGCAAGTATGAAAAGTTTGCAATTATTATGAGGAGAGATTGCAAAGTTTGAAAAAGGAGAAAGTGGTTGAAGACAAACATTACAAAAAAGCAATTACTTTGCATAAAAATCAAAGTAAACAGATACAGTGGAGTACTATTCTGCCATAAAGAATGGTAAAATTGAGTCATTTGTATGAAAATGGAGCCACCATGAGACCATAACTTTGAGCGAAATAAATCAGACAAACAGTTTAAATATAGAATAGTTTCTAAATATAAATAAAGAACAAAATAAAAATAAGGTAGTAGGAAATAAGAAGGTAGTTGTGGGTTTTTTTGTTTGTTTTGGTTTGTATTTTTATACATGGAAGAGGAAAAGAGATGAAGAGAAGAGGGAGAGAAAGGAGGAAGGGATGAAAAAAGAATTGAGATCTGTTATGTCTATATCAACTCCCCAGGAGGTTGAAATCATTATGTACTGCAAACATCTACTGATCAGGACAGTAGGAAAAATGGCTTGATGGCATCTCAGAAATTAGCATGACTCCACCCTTTAAAGGCTCAATGGCACTCACCTCTAAGGCTTTTGCCCCAAAGAGAGATCTAGGATGCCTCCTGGAAATTGGTTCCTTGGATTCATTTCAAGGTGCTTAGCCATCCAAGCATTAAGAGGTATTTGTAAGCAAGATTTATGGGGCCTTGGCCACTGCTCAAGTTAATGGCAGACCATGGCACCATCCACATGGTGCTGGTTTTACAGGCATAGAGAATGACATATTTACAGGGTAAAATTATTCCAGATTTCAGAAAAGGTTTGGGAGGCCATGCAATCCACACATGAAAGGGAAGTGACTAAACCTGTGACAATGAAGCTGAATGCAAAGTGGAAACATCAGGAAGTTGGAGATGCCAGGTACATGAAACACCTATTGAGGAAATCCACAAGTAGTAAATAGAGCCACTATGAAAGAGGCCATGTAGGCTACAACTGGCAATGGGCCAGAGCCTTCCAAATAATTTGAAACTCACATCTCAACACACCCTTCCCTGGTGGTAAACATAGACATACATTGTTTAATGTTTGCCCTGCATGGTTTTAGTATTGTTTTGGTGCCATTCTTTTCTATATTTCCATTTTCCCTTTTTGGATTGGGAAAGTTTATCTTATGTCATTCTGTAGTGAAAGCATCTAACTTTCTTTTTTTTTATTTTACAGGGTCTCCCAGCTGAATTTTTCCTGAGTCTCAAAATAGACTCTGGACCTGGCCTGGACATATCAGCAATGACGAAAATGTTAAAAATTTAGTGAGCATCAGTTTATTTTTTGAAAATTTTTCCTCATTGTTTATTGGTAGTTTTTAAGCATACAGTACAGTTACATTCATCATTGGGATCTTGTACCTTTACATAACAGGTATTGGTTCTCATTTTTCCCCATATCCCTGCCCTCCCTTCACCCCCTATTCCTTTCCCGATTTACAAAAACTTTGTTTGCATTTTTTCATTTTCTCATATTTTTTCTTTTCCCTTATTTCCTTTCCCCTACCCTTCCCACTTCCCCTACACTTTAAGAGCTTTTCTTACTATTTCACTTTGTCAATTATGAGCACCAATTTATTTTGTTACTCATCCATTATTTTCATTACTAACAGAAAAATTTTCCATGGTCTATTGTCCTTAAAGGTGAGGCTAGTTATCCTTTTATGTTTCCCTTGTCAAACTATTTTACATGGATACTTCTAAGCATGTTCTTTTCCTCAGAGAATATCTTAGTGCTCTCATAAACCAGAAAAAAAATAAAGTAATTTGAGGCTTGTTTTAGCAAATCTCTTACTTAAAATGATATTAAAAATCTATTTCACTTAGAACTAAGATAAAAAATTCAAGTGTTTTGACATATCTCTCCTATAAAACTGACTACAAAAAGACAGTCATGATTGACTTATAAAGAAAGGGTTAGAAAAACAAAATAAAAGCACACAATATGAGAAAGAAGAGAGAAAATATGTTTTTTTAAAAAATGGCATATGAATGAGATGTAAATAAAGCAAGTCCAGATGGTGAAAACAGTTTATGAGAAAATACTTATATTTGGCAATATTACTATCATATGAAGGCAAAGGAGTAAGCAGTGACAAATAAAGATGAGACATTTGATTCAAGAGATAATCTAAATAAGGTAAATGGAAGACTTTTTTAAAAATTGGACTAGATACAAACATAAGTGTGGATCCAGTGGCATTGATTGAGAAATAACAGTATTTACAGTATTCCTGTTTTATATATATATAATATATAAAATACCAAATTTAAGTGGTAAAATAAGCTTTTTAAAGAGTATAAAGCGTCAGTTCTTCATTTGATCTTAGCCAAATTGCTGAGAAGCAATATAAATCATCAATTCTTTAAAAAGTTGAGAAAGACTGTAACCTTAAACTCTAAAATAAATCCAAGAACTATTCTTTATAGAACTTTTATTCTATATTCAAAAACTTTTATAGATTTTTTTATTTCAGTAAGTTGTACAATATCTCAGCTTTTTAGATAATTTTAATTTTCCTTCTCATATAGTATAGAAAATGAAGGCATATATACCATAATCAAAAAACACAGAAAAATTTATATAATTACTATTACAACAACACAGTAATTAGTATTATCATCAAAAAAGCTTTTATTTCTGGTTTCAAGATTATTTTGCAAGCAACGGTCTGGTGGGCCTGTATCTTTGGTGGGGAAAAACAGAGGAGCACAGAAGCAGCACAAGACCCTTTGTTAAACCCAACCCTTTGGCTCAGTGCAGCAGAGGAGACAGGCAGCAGCTTTCGAGCTTCTGGTAGGCCTGCCACTTCAGCCAAGCTCAAAAGAGTAGCCCAGCTGCATGGGCACCAACAAAGTGGTGTCTGTACCCCCTGGTGCCCCGCAAAAAAGAGACATAGGGACTTTCTGAGGTTCCTAGATAAAAATTGCAACCTACTGGAAAAGTGAAGAAAATCTCTGCAATAAAGATACATCACACTGCCATAGTTGGTAAGTTGGAGGTACCAGCACCTCACACTGGAACTTGGTCTCACTTCAGCATACAAACAACTGAAACCTGCAGTAGAACCTTGCAGAGTTCAACCCAGCAGAAGATCAGAGATCTCAGTTTTGCTGCTGCCTGACTCACAAGGGCAAGGTCCAGAGATCAATCTCCAGTACAAAAAAAAATGCATATTAAACTTAAAAATTGAAATTAGATTAAGATATTAGTGTTTTCTGATACAGTTAAGACAAAATTCAACACAACAGATTTCCATTATTTAGATTTTTACTTCATTCTAATAAAACATTAAAATGCATGTCTACATATAAAATAAACAAAAGGATGAGTTCTGTTCTTGATAGTACTCTGCATAAAATCACTGCATTAATGAGAGCTCGTGGACAAATGTAAATTATGTTAGAAAATCCAAAACACTTCATAATACTCAACTTAAAAATTATTTATTTTGTTTTCTGAAACAAATTTTACTTTTTCTTTTTTTTTCATTTCTATTCTTCAATTTAAATTGAATCTATTGGTACATTCTAGGTATACAGTACAGTTACATTCATTACTGGGATCTTGTACCTTTACATGACAAGTCCTGCTTCTCATTTTTTCCCCTTGTCTCCACCCTCCTTTCACTCCCTCCTCCCCTCCTCACCTACAAACACTTTATTTCCATTTTTACATTTTATCATATTTTTCCCTTTCCCTTATTCCCCTTCCCCTACCCTTTTCACTATCCCTACACCTTTAGTCCTTTTCTTCCTGTTCCACATTGCTAATTGACCCATTAGGATCTTGAGTGCTATTTTAGTTTTGCACACCAGAGAAACTATTCGGTATTTACACGTGTGACTTATTTATTTTACTCAGGAGTATATCCTCAAAATGTACCCATTTAACTATGAATGAATCTACTTTCTCATTCTTTATGGCTGAGTAGTATTCCATTTTATAGAAAAAACACATCTTCTTTATCCAGTTTCCAACTGATGGGCAGATGGGCTGTTTCCAAGTTTTAGCTATTACAAACTATGCTACTATAAACATGGGTGTGCATATATCATTATGGTATGATTCTTTTAATTCTTTTGGAAAGATACCCAACAGAGGGATGGCTAGGTCAAATGGAACCTCTAATCCTAGTTCTTTGCAGTATCTCCATATTGACTTTCACAGTGGTTGCACTAGTCTGCACTCCAACCAACAAAGGAGAAGGGTTCCTTTCTCTGCACAACCCAGCCAACATTTGTTATTGTGTGATTTCTTGATAGCAGCCATTCTTTGTGGGGTGAGGTGAAATCTCAGTGTTGTTTTCATCTGCATCTCTCAAATGACCAGTGATGTGGAACATTTTTTCATATATTTACTTGCTGCTCTTATTTCTTTGAGAAATGTCTGTTCATTTCAGATGCCCATTTTAGAATTGGGTATTTATATTTGGGGGGCTGGTTGTTTTGAGTTCTTTAAATATTCTAGATAATAGTCCTTCATCTGAGGAGTAGCTGGTAAAAAAGTTTTTCCCACATAATAGGTAGTCCCTTAGTTCTGTTGATTATTTCTTCTGCAGTGCAGAAGCTGTTTAATAAGATGAGATCCCACTTGTTGATTCTTTCTGCTAATTTCCATGATACTGAGGATTTGTTCATAAAGTCCCTTCCTATGCCAATGTCTTCCAGAGTTCTGCCTAACTTATCTTCCAGCAAGTTTATTGTTTCTGTTTTTATATTTAGATATTTCATCCACTTGGATTTTAATTTAGTGCATGGTGAAAGATAATGGTCTAGTTTTAATCTTTGGCAGGTTGAAATCCAGTTTTTCCAACACCATTTATTAAAGAGGCTATCTTTCCTCCAGATGGGATTGTCAGATCCTTTGTCAAAGATGATGTAGCTGAGTACATCTGGAGTTGTTTTTGTGTCTTCCAGTCTGTTCCACTGATCCTCAGGTCTGTTTCTTTGCCAGTACCATGCTGTTTTTATCACAGTGGCTTTGTAGTATAGTTTCAAATTGGGAATTGTTATACCTGCTGCCATGTGTCTGTTGCCTAGTATGGCTTTTGCTATTCTAGGTCTCTTCTGGTTCCAAATGAATTTTTGGATTCTTTTTTCTAATTCTGTGAAGTGCAGTGTTGGAATTTCAATTGGCATTGCATTAAATCTTTATAACAGTTTTGGTAGTATGGCCACTTTCACTATGTTGATTCCTCCATAGGTCTTTCATAACATCTAAATTTATATTTGTTTTCTTAGATTCCCTATAATTATAGGGATGTGTACATATAGCAATAAAAATATAATGTGAAATAGAAAAAAAAGGGCTAAGGGTGAAGGGAAAGTGGGAAGGGTAGGGAAAAGGGAATAAGGGAAGGGAAAAGAAAAAAAATATGAGAAACTGAAAAAATGGAAATAAAGTGTTTGTAAATGGGGAGAGGAGGAGGGGATGAAGGGAGGGCAGGGACAAGGGGAAAAATGGGAACCAAGACCTGTCATGTAAAGGTACAAGATCCCAATAATGAATGTAACTGTATTGTATACCTAAAATGTACCAATAAACTCAATAAAAAGAAAAAAAATAGCTCCAACAAATATTCTTCCAATATATTAAAAAATGAGCAATATTGTCATCCAGAATCATATTTTCCATTTCACAGTACGTGAAAAATATATAATCAGCTCTATTTGTCTCATTTTAATTACTATGTGTCTGTGTGTATGTCTGTATGTTCATGTACAGTATTTTGGTGGAATTAGATCTCACTTGATTATTTAACATTTTAAGGGCAAAACGCTTGTAACATATTTGCACAGTAAAATTGGTGAAGTTCTAATTTCTGTTAGCAAAGATCAATGGGGAAAGAACATTTCAAAATATTCTGTTTTTTAATTAAATTGAGCTTACTATTTGTTTTCCTTTGGTAACTTCCACATGCATGTGGAAAGTGAAATATATTTCAGAAAAATTCTTCTCACAGTTAATCTGTGGTTGAAGCAATGTATTTGATCTATTACTATATTATTATACTAGGATATTTAACTATTGAACTTTTTTTTTGTACTGGGAATCTAACTCAGAACCTTGTGCTTGCAAGGCAGGCATGGTGCCACTGAGCTAAATCCCCAGCAATTCACCCTTCTTGGTTGATTTGTAAAGATGACTGTAAACTGGTAAAAACAAATGGAGAATATTGATTTCTTAATGTTTATTTTAAAGTGAAAATTATTTTCAAGTGTGTTTTATATTTTGAGCTAAAGAAAGGCTGCCTTCAAAGATT